GTTTTTTTATATTATAAACTTATAATATAATTATATAAAACTTAATATAATAAAACTTAAAAAGAATAATAATAACTTATTAAGCCCTTTTTTATTTAAAGGAATTTTTATCTTAAGAATATTTAATAACTTAATTAATAAAAATAAGGATTAAGTTTATAATAAATAAAAAGGTAATTAATATTAAAAGGATTTAATTTTTTTATATATTTAATTAATTAAAAACTTTTTATAATTAATTTTTATTTTATATTAATTTTATAAAAATATTTAAGGGGTAATTAAAAAACTTTTTAAAGAAAATTTACTTTATATTTAAAAACCTTTTTAAATAAAAGTATATTAAGCTTAATTTAATTATATTATAATAATATTATAAAGAAAAAATAATAAAATTTCTTATTTAATTTAATTAATTAATTTATATAATAAAGATTTAAAGTTAATTAAATAAATATAAAATATTATTAATATTTAATAACTTAATTTTTATAATAAAAGCTTAACTTAATTATAAAGAATAATTAAATATATTTAAGGCTTTTTATTTTACTTTATAATAATATAAGGATATTTTTAATGCTATAATAAAAGAAGATAATATTTAACTTTAAAATAGCAAAATAATAAATATTAATATTATAATAATCTTAATAAATAAAGTTAAGTATTTTATATATAGCTAATTTAGCTATTATAAGCATAATTATCTTAATTATTATAAAAAAATAAAAATATAGCTTTTATTAATTAAGGTTAATAAGGGGAAGAAATTTATTTAAAAGGATATAAATTTTTTTTTATAAGGTAAGGTTTAAAAGCAATGTTAATTTAATGCTAACTTAAGCTTAAAGTAAATTAATTATATATTAATTAATTTAATATTATAAAAATACTTAAAATTTAAGAAATTCTTATTAATAAAGCAAATTACTTATAATTAAGCGCTAATTAATTATAAATTATATAATAAATTTATAATTTTAAGATTTTAAGTAAGAAAATTTATATAAAAGGCTTATATTAAAAGATTATAAAAATGCTATTAATTTAGCTATTAATTTATACTTAAATAATTATTTTTTATTAACTTACTTTAATTAATATATTAAATTATAAGGATTAAGATATATTAATTATAAATAATAAGCTAAGCTTTTAATATAATTAAAAGGTATTAAGGTATAATTAAATAGCTAAGTAAAGAGTAATATTTAATTTATAATTAAATTATAATATCCTTTATTTTTTATTATATAGCTACTTTTTAAGGCTTATTATAAAAACTTAAAAAAGGAAGATATATTATGGTTTAAGCTTTGCTTATTATAATTAGTTAATAAGCTTTAACCTTATAAAAATAAGCTTTAATATAAATATAAATAAAAAGTAAACCTTTTCCTTTGCATTTTAAATATAAACCTTATTTAAATACCTTATGATAAATAACTTAAGGCTAGCTTATAATAATAATTAAATAAATAAATAAATATATATATTAATTTAATAATATAATATAAACTTTTAAAATTCTTATTTTTTTAAAACTTTAAGGTTATAATATATTATTAAAATATTTATTTTTTATAATAAATTAAAACTTAATAAATATAATAATATAAAAAAAATAAGCTAAGCATTATTTAAATATATTTCTTAAATTAAAAATTTTTTAAGTAATATATTTACTTTATTTATTATTAATAATTATAATTAATAATGTTTTTAATATTATAATATATAAAAAATATAAAATAAAAAAAGTTTTTTTTAATATAATTTTTTAAAAAGGTTTTATAAAAGTAATTATATAATAAAAATATATAATATATAATACTTTTAAAAATAAGCTTTATAATAATATATAAATACTTTATATAAATAAAAATTATAAAATAAAATAAAATAAAAAGGCTTAAAATAAAAAGAAATTAAAAAAATTATTTTCTTAATAACTTTATAATTATAAAAGTTATAAAGTTAAAGTTTATATATTTATAATATTATAAATTTATATTATAATATAAGCTTATAATATATAATTATATAATTAACTTATATAAGCAAGTTTTTAAAACTTTTTATATAATAATTAAGAAAATTATATATTTTTAATTATTTTTTAATTTATAATTTATATATTTAAAGCCTTTTAATTAAATTTTATATTATATAATTATTAATTAATTAATTATTAACTTATATTATTTAATTAATAATTTAAAAATATTAAAATATTTTATTTAACTTTAATAAAATTAAAAAAAAAACTTTTATTTTAAAATAATTAACTTTTTAAAGCAAGTAATTAAGCTAATAAAAATATAATAATAATTCTTTTATATTATTTTATACCCTTATTTTATATATTATACTTTTATTAATTATATAATTTTTAATAAATTTTACCTTAAATAATTATTTATTTAAGCTTATAATTAATCTTTATAATAAATAATATTTTATAATATTATAATAAAGTTATTTATAAAGCTATTAAGGTAAAGAATATTTAATTAATATATTTATAATTATATTTCCTTAATTTTAATTAAATTAAAATATATTTTAAAAATTTAAAAATAATATATTTATTATTAATATTAATATAAAGTAAATAATAAAAATAATAAAAAGAAATTTATAAGTTTTTTTTATTTAAGTATTTAAAAAGTTAAATAATATATAAGGGTAATTAAAGGATATTTTTATTATATATATATATTAAAAAGGAAATTTAAAATTAATAATTATAATAAAGAATAATAAAAATATTATATAATTAAATAATAATAAGAAAAGAAATATTAATAAAAAGAAAAAAGTATTATAAAGAAGTTATTAAGGTTAAGTTATATAAAAATAAGTTAATTAATAAAAAAAAGTATTATTAAAATTATTATAAGAATTAATTAATAATTTATTATAATAAATATATTTAATTTTCTTAATTAACTTTTTAATTATTTATTTAAAAACTTGTTTTATTATATATTAACCCTTTATTACCTTTTTATTAATTATATTACTTTTTATTTTATAAATAATAATAATTATTTTTTAAAAAACATTAAAAAATATTTTAAACTTACTTTTTATTATTAATATATTATTAAGCAATATTAAAAAGCTTTTTATATTTTTTTATAAGCTATTTTAACTTAAAAAAACCGTTTAATATTAAGAAAAGTTGCTTAATTAATTAAAAGGTTTTATTGCTATATATATATTTAAGAGTTTATTAAGAATTATAATTTTCGTTTTACGCCGGCGGTAATAACGGCAGCAGCTCCTCCTTATTATTATTACTTTTAAAAAGCTTAAAAAGTTTTTTCTTTCCTTTAAATATAACTTTATAAGTATTTTAATTAATTTAATGTTATTTAAGCTTTTTTTATTAAATTAAATATCTTTTTTTAAATATAAGGCTTAAAAATTAATATTTTTATATTTTATTGTTTTTTATAACTTTATTAATTACTTTCTTTTTATTAATATATAAAAATATTATTATAAAGCTTTAAATATAAAGTTTTTTTTAAATATATTTTAATTATTAAATATTTATAATAATATTAATAACTTTTTAAAGCTTAATAATAATAATAATAATAATAATAATAATAATAATAATAATAATAATAATAATAATAATATAATAATAATAATAATAATAATAATAATAATAATAATAAATAATAATAATAATAATAATAATAATAATAATAATAATAATAATAATAATAATAATAATAATAATAATAATAATAATAATAATAATAATAATAATAATAATAATAATAATTTTTATTATTAATTTTTTTTATATATAATAATATTATTAATTAATTAATATAATATTTATTAATAAAATAAATAATTTAATATTATAAATAAATATATAATTATAATAATTAAGTTTTTATTTTTTAAAGATTATTAAAATAAGCTTTTTATTAATTTAAATAAGATATAATTATTTTAAGTTAAGGTTAATAAAGCATATATTTCTTTATAAAATAAGCTTAAATTAATTTTATTACTTTTAATTATTTTAAAGATATATATAAAATAAGGTTATAATAACCTTTCTTTTGCTAAATTAGGTGCGTAGTAATGGCAAGAAGGTTATTTGTGATGATCTTGGTGTATATTCCGCGTTTATAGCTAAATTTTGGTGCGGGGGGGGGAGCTGACCAAACCGACAGGGGGGGTAACAGCTTGTTTTCCACACACAGCATTTCGGAGCCAAAGATCAACATTTCCAACGCTCCATTTGCACGTGGCTGGGGCAAATTCTTCCTTTATGTGCTACAAAGTGCATGTAAGGGTATTTGAAATTGTCCCTTGCAGTGGCGTAGCAGGATAAGGTCCATCTACTTGCCCGAGAAGGAAAAGTGAGCCAGGTCCAGGAACGGTTTCTTGACCCTCCAGACTCCAAAAGGAATCGCACTTTCTCCTCTTGACCTGACCTCACAGGTGGTTTTTTCCCCTCTGGTTTCCTGCCCCACTGACCACTGTCTTCCTACCTCAGGGCTGATGGCCTCCAAACTCCCGCAGCTAGTAGAAGGGGGTGGGAGGAGGTATTTGCAGTGCAGCTGTGCTCGTATCCGTAAGTCGCTGATGTGGCGTAATGCTGTCGCGCAGAAATGCTACCTAATATTGCGGCTGGGCCGGGCTCGATGGGGGCCCTTCAAGAAGATGGGGTGCCGAACAACCCTGACAACTCTGGGGGCTGATTTCATGAGAGCCGCAAACTTTGTCGCCGGCTAAAGGCGAGGCCCTCGTCTGAAGAGCTCGTAGGCTGGCGTTCTTTGCGTGAAATGATATGTAGAGCGACTGGTCTCGCGCCGCGGCCTGCGCCGAGAATCAGCAGCCTCTGATGGCGAGATCACGCTGTGGGCACTTTCGAGGTAAAGATGGAGAGAGACGGGAATATCTTGTCCTTTATTGTGTCTGCTTGCGCATCTCACACATATCGTCTCACATCCCAGAAACCCTTACTCGATGACTGGCGACCCGATGACCGGCCCCTTATCCCTCATGCCGTTGATAACGATACTGCTGACCAGGTCGCTCCTATGCATCTTCAAGATCTCCTTCAGCGCGCTGCGCTCCATCACTATCCGCCCGCCCTCCAGCAGGTTCTTGACGTCCACATCCTCCATCTCCATCGCCGTCCCATGCTCCTGGGCGACCTCCAGGCTGGTAAACAGGTTGGGCCGCGGATCCGTCGTCACGAACGTCGTACGCCCGTGGCCCTTGCCCCAGCGCAAACCCGCCATGACATCCCCCAGGTACCGCGCCACGAAGCCGTCCTCCAGCTCTCTGCTCAGCTTCCCCTGCTGCGCGAGCGCGAGGAAGTCCTCTGGCAGCGGCAGCTCGAGCCCGTCCTCGCACACGATGAGCTCCCCTCGCCTGTAGCGGTAGGACAGCGCCGTGCGCCACGCGAGGTCGTACACCTTGCGGTTGAGGCCGGTGCCGAAGTCGCGCGGGTGTGGGCCAAAGGATTTTCCACCGCCCTTTCGCAGGGGCGACTGCTTGTTTCCGACACGCGCCCTACCAGTGCCCTTCTGTCGGTATAGTTTGCGGTGCGAACCATGTACTTCGTAGCGAGTCTTGGCATTCGCTGTGCCTTGACGGGTGTTGTCGCCTTCGTATGTGACGGCCAGGTGGAGTATGTCCCGCCTTAGAGGCAAGTAGAGATGCTTTGTGGAGTAAGACTCGAGGGCGCGAGGCTCGAGGCTGGGGAAGTTGTAGACGGTGACGGGGACCGTGGAGAGAGGCTTGAAGGGGACGTAAGTGGTAGGGTCGGCCGATGGTACCGTAAGGCCGGAGGGCGTTGTTGTCGTCGCCATTGTGCGCGATGCCATGGATGATAGCCCTGCCTGCATGCGCCATCAGCTTGACATCCTCTCGTGCGAAGAGGACGTGTTAATGATGTCGGGTCAACGTACCGTGGATGGTCTTGTGTTTCTGCAGGGTTGTGAGGCCAGGCTCAAAGCCTTCATGGCCTCATTGAGGCCCCTGAAGCCCTTGCCAGACATCTTGCGGTCACTGGCACCGAGCTCGAGAGGAATTAGGTGGGGTGACCGAGCTACAGCGTCGTGCGTACGACGTTCGTTGGGGTTGATCGAGACGAAGCTGTCGATCCCGAAAAGATCCAAGATGGGTGGAGCGCACGGACCGCTGTGTGTGGAAAACGAGCTGCCGCCCCCCCCTGTCGTTTTGACTCATGTTCCCCCCCCCGCTCCAAAATCCCAAATCCTCCCAATATAAGCTATTTTTAATATAACTATTTTTATATAAATAATAATATTATATGAAAATATTTTTTTAAAATCCTTATATTCTTAAAAATAATAATAAAATATTTATTATTATATATATTATATATTTTTTCATTAAATTTAATATTTAAATTTAATAATATTTTAATATTTAAATATTTATTTATTTTATTTATTTTATTAATTTTATTAATTTTATTAATTTTATTAATTTTATTAATTTTATTAATTTTATTAATTTTATTAATTTTATTAATTTTATTAATTTTATTAATTTTATTAATTTTATTAATTTTATTAATTTTATTAATTTTATTAATTTTATTAATTTTATTAATTTTATTAATTTTATTAATTTTATTAATTTTATTAATTTTATTAATTTTATTAATTTTATTATATTATAAATTTTAATATAATAAAATTAAAAATATAAATATTAAATATAAATAAATATATAAAATATTATTAAAATATTATTAAAATATTATTTAAATTTTATATAAATTTTATTTAAATTTATATATATATTTATATATATATTTTATATATATTTTATATAAATTTTATATATATTTTATATAAATTTTATATAAATTTTATATAATTTTTATATATAAATTTTATATAAATTTTATATAAATTTTATTTATATTTTTTTTATTTTATTTATATTTTATTTATATTTTATTTATATTTTATTTATATTTTATTTATATTTTATTTATATTTTATTTATATTTTATTTATATTTTATTTATATTTATATTTATTTTATTTATTTATATTTATTTATATTTTATTTATATTTTATTTTTATTTTATTTTTATTTTATTTTTATTTTATTTTTATTTTATTTTTATTTTTATTTTTATTTTTATTTTTATTTTATTTTTATTTTATTTTTATTTTATTTTTATTTTATTTATATTTTATTTATATTTTATTTATTTTTTTATATTTTATTTATATTTTATTTATATTTTATTTATATTTTATTTATATTTTATTTTTATTTTATTTTTATTTTATTTTTATTTTATTTTTTTTTATTTTTATTTTATTTTATTTTTTTTTATTTTTTTTTATTTTATTTTTATTTTATTTTTTTTTTTTTATTTTATTTTATTTTTATTTTATTTTTATTTTTTTTTATTTTATTTTTATTTTATTTTTATTTTATTTTTTTTTATTTTATTTTTATTTTATTTTTTTATTTTATTTTTATTTAAATTTTATTTAAATTTTATTTTTTTTATATATTATTTATATAAATTATTATATATAATATAAAATTTATTTTATAAATATAAAATAAAATTTATATATAAAGTTTAATATATAAATTAAAATATTATAATATAATATATTATATAATATAATTTTAAATATATATTATATATTATTAAATAAAATATTTAATAAGGATTATAATTATACATTTTTCATTATGATATATAATTCTTTTATAAAGATATAATGAAATATAGCTAGGTTTTAAATTTGAGATTTTGGAGCCGCGGGGGGGAGCATGAGTCAAAACGACAGGGGGGGCGGCAGCTCGTTTTCCACACACAGCGGCTTGCGCAGACAGGCTGCAACAGCAGGCCGGGAGCTCGCCCGAGCGAGAGCGCCAGCGCCAGGGGTCCGAAATTTCTGAGAAGCCGCCCAAGCTCCGACTTGAGCTTCAACGTCGTGTGCCAGACCGACGAACGCGCATGCAGCACGCCCAATGGTCCTCTGCTCTACAACTAAGATGACGAGGTGCCAACAGGTGGCGCTGCCACTGGCCCGCTGCCTGCGACAAGGCCTCGCAACACAGCCTGCAGCGCCCTCAATATATGCGGCGGCAGCACGTTCATTTTCAAGCTCGGCAAGCCGTCGAGATGTCGAGACGACCACGACCTCGTCATCCACATCTGCCACCGATGCGCAATCGGCGCAGGACCTAGCCAGCGCCAACAAAGCGCCGAATCCATTAAGGGAGCAATGGTTGGACCCCAACACCACAACGCTATTGTGGGCAGAAAGGAGGCTGTTGAAGCAGGGCACAGAACCTATAGGATCACGAAGACGGAGAGCGGCAGTACGGCAGTCGCCAAACATCCCTTTCGAACAATTACCTTACCACTGCTTCCAAGAAGCTCGAAAAGTCCTCGCAGAGGAGCGCGCGGAGAAGCTGGAGGAGCTGAAACAGACATCTGTCGAGATCGCAAAGCTGGAGCAAAGGCCGGCAGATGCGTATAGGGCTGGAGAGCAATTTAAGCAGAAGAAGCTGGAGTCCCTGCGCAGGCATTTGGAAAACCTCAAAATTCAAGCCGACATCAACGACCCAGCTGTGAAGAGGAAGTTCGAGGACGGCCTAGGTAAGCCTCAGCCTGAACAAGGGGCCGCAGTGTCCATGACCGAGCTGGAGACTAACATACGCACTTACAGCGGACTTGAGCAAACCGATCTACCGCCACTTTGCTCATGAGAAATGGCTTGGCATGTCTTATAAGATTCTTGCCCAGCGACTGCGACAATTCCACATTGTCCCAGACGTCCTGTCACGCTTCGACCCCAGGATGGATGTACAACTCTCCTTCCACGGCTACAAGGTCACCCCGGGCGAAACGGTCGACTCCCTGGTCTCGGAGGCTCCCCCGAACCTGCGCGTGCAGGTGTTCGACAGTAAGGAGCGGCTCGTGAGTGTTGTCGTGCTGGACAGCGACGTGCCAGACCCGGAGAACGACTCTTTCGGCCCGCGCCTCCACTTCATGGCCGCAAACGTCCCTCTCAGCTACGCCACCAGGAACATCTCCCTGAGCCGCCTGTCCGGCGGCAGCAAGGAGCACCTCGCCGTCCCCTGGCTCCCGCCGACGAGCCAGGAAGGCGCGCCGTACCACCGGCTGTCGGTGTGGCTCCTGGAGCAGCCCGAGGGCAAGAAGCTGGACGTCGAGAAGCTGAGGGAGGCCTACTCGAAGCGGCACGGCTTCAACCTGCGCAGCTTCCGCGGCGAGCACAAGGCGAAGCCGTTCGGGTTCAATATGTTCCGGACCGAGTGGGACGAGGGCACGGCCAAGGTCATGGAGAGGCACGGCATCCCCGGCGCCGACCTCGTGTTCCGGCGCAAGAGGGTGTACAGCCTCAAGCCCCCGAAGAAGGCGAGGGGTTGGGAGGCCAGGAGACAGGGCCCCAAGTACAGGCAGCTCTGGAAGTACACCAAGAGAATCGGGAGAATGTTTGGGGGCACGTAGGTTGGTGCGGGCGCGCCTGGCCCTCTCGGGTTCTTGTCGAGCTGTCGCATTGCATAGAGCCCTGTACCATATTGTCAAATTCTACGTTGCCACGTGGGACGCAATTCGCATGTGGACCCTCAAGTACTTTGTCCGCTCATACGTTTCCTCTATTTCGCCCTGTCGTGAGTGGTCCACTTTAGTATCTTGCCCGTGTGCGTCTCAGCCAAGCATCCAGCCACGGGAACGATGGCAATACATTTATCGCAATCTCCTGGGAGTGGAAAGGTGCAAGTACGTGTGCCTGTCATCACTCCATGATGAATTGGCAGTCGGGCTAAGCGCCTGCGCGAGAACGCCGCCGCGGCTTCAACAAAGTCTTATCTTGGACAGAGGCTGGGTAAAGAATTGATCTTTCTGGAGACGCGATTTTCGAACGTCGCCGCCTGGGGTTGAAAAAGTATCGGTGCGAATTTCAACAAGTTGGGCAGGGGAGATGTATTGCTCTTGGAAACCGGCCGCAGAGGTCGAGCGGTAGGACGTGGGCGCACATTGCATCAGTAGCGATGCACTGATACGAGGCCAGTGAAGGGGACATCGGTACAATGTTTGGAGTTCCATCCTGAAATGTTAATCTCAAGCGATACAATACGCAGAGAGCAGTTTTGTGGATGTGCAGAGACTGGCACTGGTGTTGACCGGTCACATACGGTCAAAACAAGATAGCCAGAGGAGAGCAGACGGGGAGCTATGGAGACTTGGGTATTAGTATGTACGCGGTGCGAGAAAAGTGGGAAAAGTACGCATGCCCACCTTAAAGAAGAACACCAGGGCAGATAAATTAGAGCAGAGGACATAGAACCGTCTTTCCACTGGCAGCATTGCGTACCAATACAATGACAGGAGCACATATAATGTCATACGGCTTGTCCACTCGGCTTCCCTCCTACTGAAATGGAGCAGCGGGACCATCCGCACTTGCAGCACAATAATACACGCACATATGATGTATACTACACGTCTGACCCCCGATATCAATGGTCCGGCGCCAACTCGGCCGAGAGACGATGCAGCCCCCACCCTGTTTTGCGGCCCCGAACCACGGGGCCAAGCAAAGACCCAACTGGCTGGGTCAGCTTGGAAACTCTCCATCAGCAGAGGACCGAGCAAAAACAGCCAGGAGGGCTGTGAAATGCGAGACGACGAAATGGTGCATATATCAGGCCACGGCAATTGCGGTGTATACACGGATCGGCACCCAAATACGGCATACATTGTACATACATACAGACATACAACAAAGGACGCAGGGCTGGGAATGCCCGTGTGTGGTTCGTCCACCCATTCAGGGCGTGGGGACGATATCCCACAGGGGTTGTGTTGTGGGTGGCAAGGGTTGGTCTGCCGAATTGCTGCGAGGGCGCATACGTCATATCGAATCCGACCATGGCAACCTTTCCTTGAGATGGATACCGCTTGGATGAACAGTTTATTATTTGTGTGCCCTGAAGGCCTTCCCTTGAGGATTGATTGTCCCATTCCATTCTCCTGTAGTATACACACTTTTCATCTTTATCATCGGCTAAAAGCCAGCCTCGCCCCGGCCCGAGAACCTTCACCAGACCTCATTATGACGACTTGAGGGCATCACGATCTTGCCGCAGCCACTGTCAACCACGTCAACAACAGATCACAAGCGCACACATGACGACATTGTTGAGTTAGGTCTTTTATACTCGAGCATTAAAGATAGCTCAAATCCGCCATGTCTGACTTCCAAACGCCCACGAGACGCCATGATCCCTTCCTTGCCGTCGTCACTCATAACAGTCCTCCTTACAAAACAATGCCCATGCTTCCTGCACCCGTCCTGTGGCCACTCCGGGTGCCACTCCGTATCATGGCAGACCATGACACCTTTTGAAATATCGGCCAAAACTGTCGTGCGCTCTGCCGACCGACGAATTAAAGCCAGTCCTAAAGACTTGCCTACATGGTACAAGCCATGAGCCGCGCTGGCTCTACAGGTGACCTGCCGTGGTCTTCTCTCAATTTAGAGATGCGATCCAAGTGGCGTATCCTTGCCCACCACTCGGTGCTTTGACCGACCATCACACCCACCACTGTGCCCTCTCTTACCAATTGGATAGAGAGCACTACCGCCAGAATGACTTATTTCAACCGTGGACAACAGGCACAGCTCAGCACCTGTGCCGACTTTTCTCCGACGTCTTCTGTCCTAACAAGATGGCCAAAGGTATTCTGAGGCGCGTCGGAACCCCGAGAGCCTCCCCTTTGCTAGAGATGAAGCAGTCTTCTGACTTACTAAAACGAAATCAAACCGACCGTTGGGCGTGCTCCAAGTCTCCGCGACTCCATCGCACATTGTTAAGGCTACGGCGGCCCAAGATTCCCAGAACATCAATCGTGGCAGCAGTCATGACTTGGCAGGTGCAGCAAGACGCGATCTCACTATCACTCGTTGCACCAACCCATGTGATCGAAGTTGATCAATGATTCCTCTTTGACTTTCGGCGATACAGACGACATCGGTAAGGCAGGATCTATCGGTGGTGTGGTGTCGATTGAGGAATGGCCTATTCTGCATCAGGAACCGAGCCTCGCTTCTGCTTTATCCTGCCATTGGATACTCACCCTGCGAATAGGACGTACTCGCCCGGCGCGATGTTGGGTCAAGATCGACCAAGGAGCCTCCAGAAATGTTGCTGCCATTCCGGTGTTGGCCTTGAGGTGGGTACGCAGAAAGTGGATTCGGCATCGAGAACATGCTGGAACCAGTGGCCTGTACAATTCTCCGTGCTTGGCTATTCAACCACTCGGTGATGTTAGGATCATTGCAGTCCGCGTGACTCATCAGCATGCTCTTCGTCTGGTTGAGCTCATTGATCAAGCCGCGGTGCTCCAAGCGGAGGTCCATGTTGTGGCGTTCCAGTTGAGACTTGTTATATTCCAATTCATGCACCCATTTCTTCTTCTTCTCCCGACACTTGCTCGCGGCAATTCGGTTCTTCTCAAGAAACTTCTTCCGCTTCTCCGTCGACTCGTCCTCTTCCTCATCTTCCGATTCTTGCTTGACAGATTTGGACTGCTTCTGACGGGCTCGCTTCTTTGGAGGCTCCGAGCCCTCATGTGAAAGTTTCCGGGCCGGTGCCATGTTATGAGATTCTTGAAGTGAGGGAATGGAATTGGAGCTCGATTTGGTGCTAATTGATCCTCGCGCCTCGAAGGAGGCTGGTGTTAATGGCTCCGAAACCTTGCTTCTTGTCGAGACAGCTCCCTTGTTTGCGAGGAGGCTTGGATCGCAGACCTGGTCACTGTATGAAATGTCCTGGAAAGGCATGACGGGAGACCGACCCAAGGAAGAGCGCGGGCTGGGGATGACGGAAGGGTTCATCGACGAGTACGATTGATGAGAGGTGGGTGGGAGCTCCGTGGTTGCCACAACCACCTCGTCTTCAAGGGTGTCTGGGTACGGGTCGATGCCGTTGAAGTCGACAAGGTCACTGGTAAAGTGAGAGGGGTCTTCCATGCCGCGCGTGGGGGCCTTGGCAGCCAACTTCTCGCCCAGGGCGATCTCGAAAGCCTGTCTTGCCTCCTAAGGGACCGCTGGGTGGGTCAAGAAGTTTCCTCCGGGTTAGCAGACAGGGGCAGATAATGGACTGCTGGTACTGGGTTTAACGGCGCCGACTGAGTGCGTTGAGGTCCTGGACGGTGTCAAGCATTCGACGAAAAGCTGTCGCGGAGGCTTACAACCACACCACGACGGGCAGATCTGAGCGGCCGCAGAATGACGTTGGTATGAGAGAACAACAGCCTGCTCTACCGGGGGGGGGGGGTTAACCACAAATGGCAATGGAGGTGTTTCCCGCGAAGTTGGCAGCCACACACTTCTCAACTGCTAAAGGACGAGATGACGACTGTTTTAGAGCGAGCAAGGTGGTCAGAAGGGAGGCGAGGGCAACCAATGCAAATTGGAGGGAGTTGCCGTGGCCAGCGGGTTGACTGGTCTGCACCAGCTTTGGCAATGCGCCCCACAATCGAAACGGAACGTCGGCGTCTTCTCAGAGGCGTTGTGAGAAGGATATGGCCTGAGAAAGCTAGGACCTTAAATCAGAAATGGGTTGCGTGCTGGACAAGCTGCTGGGTTTGGTAAGGGGAATCGCAATGCTAGTGTTGCCGTTGATCGTCGACCGCTTCAAGAATCGCGTGTGCGGCTTGCAAGATTGGTTCTCAAGTCGTCCGGGAATCGTGTGCAACGGGCTGCGGCTGGTCAAGATGGGTTGGTTTGTGGGTGTACCGCGATGGGTGATTTGCCTCCCAGGGCAGTCGCAGACCGGGAGTCAGGACCAAAAGCTCCGGAGGTCACCTGAAGAGGAAGCCTAGACGCAAAGAGATGCAGAGGGCGGGAGAAGGCACAACCGTCAGGCAAATGATATCTCAGATGAAACCAGGAGAGACCAAGGGGGTGGGGGAGCGCCAGATTGTTGGGTGGTCGGTGCGATTGTCTGTTGTTGTTGTTGTTGTTGTTGTTGTTGTTGTTGTTGTTGTTGTCGCGTTGCGTTGGGCAGACAAACTCGGTACGCAGTGTGAGTGGTTTGGCCGTTGGTGTGTCTCGCAGCGTAGGTTGATGACGGGCGAGGAAGTGAGTATGTACGTATGAGGGAGACAGAGGGAGAGCAGAGAGATTGTATGTCTAGGTGTGTGCGAGCCTGCAATCCACAAGTACTGAAGGTAGGTAAAGTAGTTTTGCGAAATGGCCACTCAAAAACCCATAAGTATCGAAACCAAGAGCCTTGGTGGAGTGAAGGGGGTGGGCAGTGGGCGAGATGGATACCGAGATATGGCCACGGACTTTACTGTCATGTACCAAGCAGTGTGGTATGACGCGGACGGCGTGTTGGGGGAAGGGGGGTGGGTAGTGGAATCTCTGTGCTAGTCAGATGTATGTACGGACTGCTCAGGTCGACTACCAGCTTCCAGGTCGTTGCAGGTCGCAGGTCACAGGTGGGCAGGATCTTATTCACGGCCGGTCCAGATTGATGGGGATGCGGTTTCAATGACAAGAGGCCGGGTATCCGAAGCTGCAGGGACGGGGGCGAAGAAGGCAAAAGTGGACCAGGTGTGATGAAGCTCTGGTCCAAGGTCCCAAGCAGAACAGCAGCAAGACATTGGCAGTCACTCAATCCCCCGCTCTGATAATGGAAAGCCGAACGTTCCCTCTGCCTTTTTCTCCTCCCTCTCGCCCGCTCGCTCTCTGTCTGTCTCTCGAAGCTACCACGGGTCCCACTCGGCCCACAGGCGGGGTGCCAAAGGCGTCCAAAGCTTAGAGCTGTCCCTCGAGGCGCGTTCCGTATCCGTGCTCTACCTAGGTACACGCAAGAGTACACGGTACTGCCCAGGCGGGCAGGCCTGCGGTACCTTGGAAGTACATGATCTGCCCAGCCAGGCACACGTATCCCGCTCGTCACTTCGAGGGTACATAGCCCCCCTAGCGGCCCACCCATCCAGGTAGCCAGCCCTTGCTGGGAAGACAAGTGCCTTTGTCATTAGGCAAATCAAGAGTCCAAGCGGGCCTACGAATGGATGCAAATCTCTTCGGGCAGGGCTCACAAGCCTAAGAGGCCCGACAGGCAGGGCAGGGAAAAGTCGCCCCTAGCAGCTGAGAACAGTTCTGGCCGTTCTTGGGGATGCGGTGGTGGTGGTGGAAGAGACATGGCTGATTGGATTGCATGGGATTTACCGGTCTAGCAAGGTACCAGAGTACAAGACATGGGACTGGAAGTGTCCCGATCGGGAGCGCCTTCCTCCATTCTGCCCAGTCGCCCAGGTCGCCTTCCAACTTTTCTGGCAGCTCCGGACCTAAAGCTCCTGGCTGTGCCCCAGCTCTTTTCCTGCCCCAGGCAGCCACACCATTTTGCACAAGGGTCAGGACCTGGGCAGGTACGTGCCTGCGTACCTGCTGTAACGTAATAGTCTCCGTGTCGGGCAACTCGCTCAGCGACTTTGGGAACACATATTGATCGAGATTGCGAACTAAACTCACACATACACATCGACCTGCTGGGGCACTGACCAGGTCGCCGGGCAGGCCAGGGGCAAGCAGCAGGAGCATGGGGTCTCGCGGGAGCTGCAGAGCCAGGCCCGCGGTTAGCCATCTGCATTGGATGACGGACCCGGGCAGAGCATCAAGCGAAAGTATAAAACTTTAAGCTCCGCCCCAGCACCTCCCTACCTGCCCTACCAAAAACCGAGGCAACGGCAGGATGGGAATTGAAGATTCCCATGTTTTTGTACAGACACCAGGAGATCTTTTGCCACCTCTTCTCACGCCCTGGATCCTGGCAGCCGCACCATACCACCACCCCAGCAACTCCGCGTCTGGCCCGTCTAGCGTGTCAGCTATTGTTTAGCCCACAGTAGCTTGCTATTCCGTGGGAGAGATCACGTGGAGATGTGTGGCGACAATGGGAAAACAAACGCCATGGGCGGGCGCATTGGTCGGCAGCACCTGGGCATCATACCAGCATACCAGTTCCAATATCCACGCATGACGAAACCACCCGGGTGAAAAATGGGTCGATAATACCCCCATCGTTTGCATTAGACCATCCGGTTTCTACTGCGTCGTGCATCGGTCCTTGATATAATGCGCAGCACGAGAGTGTGAATCTCCACATGAGACGGCCCTTCAGCGCTGCCCGGACCCAAGCCAGCCTGCCAGCCTGCCTGCCAGCCTACCTAACCACACAACCACCTGGTCACCAGAGGGCGATCGATGCCAGACGGTACTATGGTGCCATGTATTTTCTGTTTTCTAATTGAAGTGGTTACCTAGTAGTCACCGATAGTCGTACAGGACTGACATTTCATGAGTCGTTAGAATCAGGTTATGACGTAACACCTGGCCAAGAGCGGCTCTTTGCATGATGACGTCCTAGGGCGGCATGATGAATTCCACCCTCCTCGGGCGGAAAAAAACGATGATTTTTCTATAGGAAATCTAGATTTCGCTAGCATAAAAACGCCAGCTAAATGTATAAACTTGTATTTTACATACCTTAAATTACCTTTTTACTTTTAAATATAACTTTTTTTTTAAAAAAAATTAACTTTGCTTAAGACGGCAATTAAATTTAAAAAAGGGCCGGCTGGGGCGAGGATGGATGGTGCCGATAGGCACCGTTGAGCACCATTTGAGGCCTAATTTGGTGCTCTTTATGTTCCTTAAAATGAGCGAGATGCGTTTTGAGTGAAAAGCGTGGAGGTATAAGAGGGTATCAGGTATCGTTTTTGTCTGCCCGGGGAGGGTGGAATTCGTTGTGTTGGTCCTAGGGGGAAACGTTGGCTGAGCATTTCTCCTACTGCCGATGCTGTGCTGTGCTGGTATGCTACCTAGGTAGTGGCTGGCGATATGGATTGGGTACCTGGGTAGGTAGGTAAGGCTGATAGGTCGGAGGAGGCCCGGGGTTGAGCTAGCACGCCTAGGCCTGCGGAACTGCACCCTCCTCCCCTGGCTTGGCCTACCCTTGAACCCTTTGGCCCTCTAGGAGAAAGACGGGCTACTTTCATGTGAGTAGCGGGCTACAGTAGTATCGTCCGCTGATATAATGAACTAGACATGCTGGACTGTCCCTGGGTGGCAAAGGTCTGCTCGGAACCCATGTCGGCTGTCAGGAAGAGAAGAGAGAGAAGAAGAAAAAAGAGAAGAAAAAAGACAGCCAGTCCCTGATCGGCGTCTGCTTCCGGTGGTCCCTGTGCTTGCAAGGTTCTGGGAGCACCCTGTCACCTGCCCCTGCGCACGCACGCATCAGACAGGCTGACAGGCAGGGAGATGTCTCTACAGATCTCAAAAGATTTGAATAGCAGACCAGATGTAGGTGGTGAGCGTTGGCCAGACGGCCTGGCACATAGGCACTAGGAAAGCACACATGGATGGAGCATTGCCAAAGGTGCTTCTAGGTAGATTATATTGCCACACAGCCGCAGACTGTGAACAGTAACCAAACCAATGCATCGCGGTTCGGACCTTGACGAGCAACCGGGCAAAAGCTGGGTGTGGCCCTCGTCCGCAGCCCCGCCCCACCCCTCAGTCAGCCAAAACGCGCCCTTGGTGGGGCAAACGCCCGTCGTCCCCGGCTTTGGGAGTCGCGTCCTGGTCATCGCATCCTCCCATCACCACCAAACATCACCCTCCCATCATCGAGGGGTCATAGTCTGCAGCCAGACCAGCCCACTCTGACACGGCCCAGAACAATCAAGCTCCCGCTCTCGAGGGCCCCACCCATCCCCGAACCATCCTGCCACCCCACGTGTACCGAGCACTGGAGCGCTGGTGCGTTGCTGCTGCTTGCCCTGAACTCCATCCAGGCCGAGAACTGCGCGGCTGAAGCAGTGCTCGCATAGGTATCCCCACCTCGACTCAAATCTCGACTGCTGCCGCGCTGCTCGTGATTCCCACGTGCCAACTTATTCCCAGACCAGCATCCGCATACCTGCATCCACCAAGGCCCGCGCTCAGTAGCCATCAGCTCGTTCTCGCCCAGCATGGAGTCCCAGTCAACACCTCGTATCACCGCGCCCTACCTGGACTCGTATCAGGGCCGCAATGTCATAGTCGTCGGCCGGGTCGTCCAGCTTCGAGGAGAGGCCGCAGTCATCGACTCGGACGGTAACATCACTGCCCACTTGAATCGTGTATGTGACGATCTCTTCCAACTTTTGGGCCCTGCCAAACCTCCAATCCTGTGTTACAGTCATGCGAGTTTCACGTCCTGCTTTTTTTTTTTTTTTTTTTTTTGGGTTGGTTGATTGCTTGGGGGGGGGGGGGGTTTGCCTTCTTTTCCTTTTCTGTCTGTTTTTCTGGGGTTGTTTCCTGTTGTTTTTGCCCCTGCTTTACTTGCTTGTCCTGTTCTATTTTATTCTCTTTTCTTTCTTTTGGCTCGGACTCAACTGACATGAGGAAATCACAACCCTACAGGAAGCCCACCTGTCCAATGGAAACGCGGTACAGATCATCGGCAAGGTCAATCCAGACCTGTCCGTCCGGGTGCTAAGCTCACTAGACCTTGGGACTGGCGTTGGTACGTTCCTTCCTGATCAGGCAGTCCATGCAGCCCATGCAGCCTTGATCTGGGATGATTTCCTCTGGGACAGCCTGCTCTGGGTTAACCCCCCGGGATATGGATCGCCAGGTTATCACGTGATAGCCATCATCATGATCAAGCCGTGCTGACGTCAAACCAATCACAGACTTCAGCGTCTACCAGAACGTCGTGGATGTCTCCCAGAAGCACCCGCAGCTCTTCGGCGGCGCCACCACCCACTGACTTCCGAGTAGCAGCAGCAGCAGCCAAGGGCTCGTCTCGGTCGGGCCTTCCGACTCCGTGTCCCAATGTCAGCAGCGTTATCAGCCACGGAGTCGAGGCGAGAGAGTTAACAAGTATGCCGGAGGTAGATTGGAGCGTGATTTGAGCAGGCTTGATCTCGGCCGAGAGGCGAACCCGCCGTCACCGCCGCTAACAGGACCATACCAGAGGCCACCGCAACCTTTTTCAGCCCGTCCTGAGCGGGATGGTCTGTTTTCAAATTTAGAGGACCGGCCTCACATGGACCTCGTCAGCACGAAGCGGACAATGAGAGAGCCCATGCCGGGAGGAGGAGCCAGCAGAGTTGGGAGGAATATGGCTACTGGGTCTTCCCCGGAGCTCTCGGGGTCCATCTTCAGTGGTATCACGAGGCAGACCAGGGGCGGAAGGAGACACGCCCAGTTGGTCATGGATGACTCTGGGCGCTGGCGTGTTGCTCGTGCTGCGGACCCAGACAAGACACTCCCGGGTGATGAGTGATGACATCCCTGTGAGCAGGCACCGCGGAAGCATCCAGAGCTTTTGTCGCTATTTGGATTGGCATAGTGTGTTCGACGTACATAGCAGCCATACCGTAACACGCTTTACGTCTCGTTCCATTCACTTGTTCCAAGCAAACACATCCGAAGACTGTGATCACAACAGATAGGTCATCATTCCTAGATCTTGCAAATGTGTGAATTAGACTCTAATTCCGGGTCACTAAACTCTACGTTGGTGACATGCTGCGTTGAGGAGCAAATGCTCCTGTTCCTGAAGTGCTAAAAAAAACATCAAAGTGCTCAAAGTCTGCCTGACCCCTCCTCGCTCCCAATCACCCCATAGGCTGAGTATCTTTACCAAAGAACCGATCCTGCTGCCAACGCCAAATGCAAAACAATGTTCCAGCCATGATGGGCTCAAGAAAGCAAAAGCAGGATACAGAATCCATGTCCAGGACATGGGATGAGAGACCGCCAACTCTCATCTCGTCACTCACTCGTCGTCTCCTGCATTCGTCATCATTATCTCCCCGAAGCTCTCCCACGAGACGCCCTCACCGTCTAGGCCAATCTGAGACGCCGCTCCAAATGATGCGTGTGCCCCTCCACCATTCTTGCTGATCAACGGTGGCGAGCTAGGCATCACCGCGTCGGTCGTCAGGAAATGGCCAAAATCAAGCGACTCAAGGTGCCCCGACAGCACCGCGTCGCTATCCAGGTTCGGCAAGCTTGCAAGGTCCAAATCACCCAGACCGTGTGCCGAGGAGCCCGTGGTGAAGTCATGAGCCTCGGACAAAAGCTGATTTAGGGTCGATGAGAAGGGCGAGTCGCATTCGCCCGTGGCCGTTGATAGGCCATGCGCTTCGCTGAACATAGCCATGTCACTATCGAGGGAGAAATGTGCGTGTAGGTGCTGGGTCGAATGGTTGTTGAGATCGTATCGCTGAGCATTGTGCCTTCTGGCACTCGACACTCGTGGTGTCTTGGTAGGCGTTTGTTGCAAAGCATGGAGGGCATGTCCGGGCGACTTTGCGACCGAACGCGCCGACCGTATCGACTTCGACACACTCCTAGTTATGGGTCGATGACTTGGCGTTGGTCGCGTAGGCGTCTTGAACTGACCGTTCTTCCTCTCCTTGGGAGGGGGCGTTGATGGGCGCGGAGGCGTACCGAACAAGTCCGCCATATCATCATCAACTTGCGCGGCACGGCCAACGGACTTCGGTGTGGCATGGAGCTTTAGATCCCCCTCAATACCCAAATACATGTTCTCCTGCTCGATTGCCGCTTTCCTTGACCTCTCGAAGGACGGTGATGTCTTCACGACATTGATAGCGACTTCGCCAAGCACTTTGGGCTGGCCATCCTTCTTAGGGGAAGGAAATAAGAGTCGGCGGGTCCTCCCTAAATCCTCATCTTCAGGAGCGGCAGGGCCCTGAGCCATGCCGTTACCGTGTGATTTGGACGAACCCTGACGGTCGGAATAGTGGAAAGAATCCGCTGGGCCAGCCGATTGTGACTTAGAGCCACGCTCGCGACTGGGTGGTTCGGTCGTTGGACCCCGCAACAGCATGACCTCGTCAGCATTTTCTGGCGACGAACCCTCATCACCAGGACCGATCGGATCCGTGGTAAAATAAGCCTCGGAAGTCAGATTTGCCGTTCCCTTATTCTGCGCCTTGGCCTTCTTGGGACGAGATTTGCCATTGTTCTTCTTGCGCGGTCTACCAAGCTGGGCCGGATCCGTCTCCCACCTGTCCTCGGGCCGGTGAGTCTTAAACTTGCTGAGCCAAATCCCACAAGCTATTGACCGTCAGTCCATTGCTCTTGGGCAAGGCCACCAAAAAAAAAACCTACAGTTACAGAGCATATCTTCCTTCCATTTGGCTTTGTCCTCAGTTGGTCCAAGGGCTTTCTTGATCACCTGGTATTCCAGGGGCTTCTCATTCTCGTCCCGCTTCGTGATAATGATAGCTGTAATACAACCAGGCTTGTCAGAGAACACAGGGAACTCGGGGCTTCCTTCACAGTGTTGTGAGAAGACTTTGCGCCAGGTCGGTGTGCTGATGGCGCCGCAATTCGAGCAGAAAGTTGGCATCTGCCCGGCCTCAATCGCCTTCTCTAGTTTTGCCTTGATCGACTGTTTTCGCGAAAAGTTCTTGCTCAACGGGGCCTGCTCTTCCTCGTCGTCAAAAGAGTAAAAGGAAACATTGGAGGGCTCAGGCAAACCCGGGTCACTGGCCGCAACAGACGGTTTGGGTGCTGGTATGGTGGCCTCTGAGGTCGATGGTCGACGAGAGGGGATTTGTGGCGGCTCCGATATTGACGGCAATTCATGCGCGTCTCCTACGGCGTCGGTCATGGGCAAGCCGTCAGCCAGTGGCTGATCCAGTAGGCGCAAAATCCCATCCTCCGTATCTTCGATTGACTGAAGAGGAGCAGGTTCAGGGGCCTTTGGTTCGCTGACTTGCTCGCCGGCTGACTCAAGCGTGTGCTCACGCGATGGCTCTCGTGATGGTTCGCGTGCTGCCTCTCGCGTTGGATCCACCGCCGGCTCCGATTGCGATCCATCCTTTTCGGCAGCCTCAAGCTCCAAAGGCAGTTGGGGTACTGGCGGCGGGCCAGTTGGTTCAACGGGCGTTTCCTGTCGTTGAAGATTTGGCTCAGTATTTGCTCTCTTCAACGGATACGCTACTGCCTTCGTACCGGTTCCTCGAGACTTTTTACTGAGTGCTTGTGAGGTGGCTTTGGGCTTGTAGATGCTCTTCTTTGGAAGCAACTCCGGAGGTCCAGGACACACTTGCTCAATAATCATGGTCCCCGGCTTCGAGGCTGCTTTAGACCTGTTTTGGGGGACCGGACGTAGGGCTTCTGTAACGCCGGGGTCCTCTGACCTCGGAGGCATCGAAGTTGCCAAGGGCATATCGTCGTAATCGGCTATCGAGTCAAATCCTCCACTCATAAAACCAGAATCTGGTTGAGGCATTGGCATCGGTGGCAGAACAGGACTCGAAAGCGGCGGGCTAGACCGCATGGAATGAGCTGATCTTGGTACCGGAGGACTAGAACCGATATCCGCAGGGCTCTCCTCTGGTGTGTAAACCTGGTGAGGTGACTGAGCGACGGACTCGGAGGGTGACCGGGCATCTTGAGCTGGTGGTCCGGGTATACCACCATCAAAGACTTGGTATCTGGTAGACCCATCATAGCCCAGGACGGATGGTCTCCTTGACTGTGCCTGGGACAATGGCTTGGAAAGCGGACGAGGGGGCGCTTGGCCGGGTACAGGTGTTGGTGCGCGAGGGACCTCTTGGAGGTGGCTTCCTCCGACTCCACTGCTGCCGGACGCAGCAGGCCTCATGGTACGCAAGGAACCTGAGGTACTAGCAGCGACTCGCAAGGATCCAGGGGCGGAGTCCAATGGAGCGCCCTTGGGCCAGTCGGCCTTAGTAGTCTTTGCCCTTTTCTTTTTGGAGGGCTCGTCTCCATCGGTCGCGTCTTCGATAGCAGACGTGTCGCCACCATCCTGTCTCGGGTGCTTGGGAGGCCTGCCTCTAGGGTTTCCCGTTTTCTTCTTGCTGGGTGCCTTTGACGACGACCGTTTAGGTTTCTTTGCTGGTGCGGGTGCCCCATTCCCATTGCCTTTGGATGTAGTAGATGCATTTTCTGGAGCCGGGCCCTGGGATGATGGAGCTGGGCCGAACGAGGACATAGGTGCCGTAGGCTGAGACCCTGCGACACTCGTGGGTGGAGGCGTTGGTGCTGCAGGCAGCGGTGCAAAATTATCTGGACGTACATCTGGAGCCGGGCTGGGCACTTGAACGGGCGTGCCAAATCTTGCAGGAGCGAGGTTTGGGCTGGGCGCCGAAGGACCACTCGCGGGACGGCCAAAACCGGGGTTTGACTGAATGAAAGACGACCATTCACTGGCCGTGTCAGTTGGCGTAGGCGTCGGAGCGTTACTTCCATAGCCTCGTTGAACCTCAGAGTTGTGTGAAGTTTGTGGCCGCTGCATTCTGGGAACGGAGTTGAGCTTTAGCTTGACCTCCAATGTCTCCTTGACGCCGTTGCCAAATATGGCAAGCATGTTCTTGGTGACGCGTCCGGTGACCAGCTTCTGCTCAGGGTTGGCTACCGCCTGGTCGAGGCCCCACGACAGCATTCCCTGTCCAACCAGTGGGACATCGTCTTCGGAGTAGTCCAAGGCGTAGACGGCATAATCTTTATCAGGCTGGTTGACGATCTCGGGGCTGCACTGGGCAACAGCCTGTAAACATATTCTCAAGTCGACAACGCCGATCGTGGTCCTCTCGTCGATGGGTGCTGTTTGTATTTGCAGAACGTGGGGCCAGCGTGCTAGGCAGTTTTGTTGATCCCTCTCGAAGGTGTAGCTGACCTTGACTATAGAGTAACAGGTAAGCCTGGGAGTGGGATGAGATCAGGGAGAGCACAGTCATGAGCTTACGTCCCATGGGCCGCATCTGCGCGCCCTCGGCCTCTTGAGGAGGTTGTGCTGGCGGTGGAAGGCCATGGGAATGGTACTGCCCCCAGGGGCCGCCGCCCTGGGAGCCCATGGCGTTGGGGAACGACATTCAGTCGTTCAGTGATCGTGCATGCATGCAAAGTAGGCTTTTCCGCACAATGACGAGGATTGAGCTGATGATGAGAGGTGGAACTGGGTGTTGCCGTGTGTGCTGGAGAAGGGGAGAGAGACAGAGGCAAAGAGAGGAACTTGATAAGTAGACGACGGTGGTGTCGTGTCGGTGGGACGCGTTAGAGGTATCGACAAGAGGTGGAAGGAAAGGTTGCAATAAATGGGTCTGGTGGATTTGAACGCAGTTGTATGCAGGGAAAAGCAATTAAAGGCTGGTTTTGCTGCCACGAAGGTCGCGTCTCGTCTCGTTGCTTTCACGCGTCCTTTAGCTGTGCGTGGAGTGGATCTTTGCAGTGCCAGGGGGGGGGCGGTGGCCGGCAGATCGCGGTAAATAGACCCAGACCCAATTGGACCAACAACGACGTGAATAATTCAAAATTCCCCTCAGGTGGATTCCGCAGTGGAAACACTCCCTCGTGGTGTTTTCTGTACGTACGAGAAGACGTTGCAGCGGGTGTTGATAAACTCAAGAGCAGGAGGGAATAGAAGTGTATAAAGGCGACAACCAGGTGGGAGGTATCGCGACACGCCCGATGTGCGGGACGGGTACAAACAAATTGACGCGACGAGGAAGGAGCTGGCCGACAGCTGCAGGCGGGACGTGAAGAGACGGCAGGGGTAGCTCCCAGCAAGATCAGCCGCACCGAGACGGGACGCAGGTACCTCGCCGAGGCAAGGGCACAGGGGTGCCGGGCCTGAACCAGCGCCGCTCAATGGGCGGATCCCCACACGGGCGATGATAACGGTAGCGATAAGGGGGAATGACGTTCCCCAGGCCTGGTCGCACCTAACTGATGCTCACAGTCGATCGGACTTAAGCACTTGGGCTTTCAGGACAGCTCCGGCGTCTCAGAAGGCAGCCATCCCACCATCAAATGCCGATGCAAATCAAGCAAGAGAGTAGAGGAATCTGAGGATTTATTTCTCGAAGGGGCCGGGGCTTCCTATTTATACCCCGGGGCAGCACGGCCGCTAGTACCTAATGACTCAAGCACCGGACACCCATCTCGCCGTCGACATCTTCTGCAGTAAACTCTCACATCCACTCGCAGGTAGAACGAAGCTTTGCTGTCGCGACCTTCGCATCAACATGGCCTGTTCTACGTGAGTTCTCCATCACCCCGCACCCCCATCTCTAGCCGCATTTTAGAACAACAGGGTTAAAACCGCTAGTAATCACGCATCGCCTATCAAATTGAAGCCATCGTCAACATACATAAGCCTGGCACTTGTGTTTTATTTTGGAGTCTAAAGACAGATGCACACCGCAAAATATAGTTACCACTCGTACACGCTATTTATCACGGCCCAGTCTTTGCAACACTCTACGACTGAGAGTCTATCTGCTCCTCTTCCTCCACCCATTTTGCAATGTTGTTCCCCGGGATCACCTTTGTTTTCCGCGCCACAATCTCGCTCACAACCTCCCGCACGCCCTGCTTGCCATTCCTCTGGGCAGAAAAGGCGTTCACGATCTGGTTCTGCGTGTAGCTCTTTTCTGTAGCCAGACGCTTCACGTCGTCCTCTGTCGGGATGCCGAATCTCCTCCATGGGTACTCGACGTAGTCCTCGTCCGTCAACAGCTGCAGAGGTGCCACGTCGCGTGAAATCTCAAAGAACGGCTGCGTGATGTTGTCACCTTCCTGGATGTCGTCCAGGCTGGCCGGTTGCCACTTAGGGTTCTTGTCCTTGTCGAGGAGCTGTGCCCTCACGCCCTCGGTGAAGTCACCGTGCCGCATAAACTTGGCAGCGATCTGGTGCTCCCGCTTGAACGTGTCGGCAATGCTCCACTGCCGGCCCTGTTGCATCTGCTTCAACGTCACGTGGACGGACGTCGGTGACCTTGCCCTCAGAGTCGCAATAGTCTTGTTCGCCCAGTCCTTCAACGGGCCCTCCGGCTGCTCCTCCAGGGCGCGCACGATCTCGTTGACCGTGGGCTTCGAGAAACACCGGTCGATGGCCTTGCGCAGCTCGCCTCCCAGCAAGACCGGTTGGTCATGTGGTAATCCAGTGGAGTATTCCTCGATGGCGTCGTTGATGAGCGACAGTCGCTTCTCCAGACTGTCGAAATCCCTGAATCTAAGCTCCGCCAGCCGCTGCTCGAGCATCGGAAGCGTGGTGGAGTGCAGGTAGTGTGTGGCGATACCCGCGTAGAGCACATTCGCCGCCTTGAGTCGCTCGCTTGTCAAGGCAAGGTAGGTGCCCACCGCGCCGGGCATGCGTGGCAAGAAGAATGAAGCGCCGACGTCGGGGAAGAAGCCAATCGTGGTTTCGGGCATCGAGAAAACAGTGCGCTCTGTCGCTATCCTGAATGGCGCATGAATGCTGAGGCCAACGCCTCCGCCCATGGTAAATCCATCCATGAAGGAGATATACGGCTTCTGGTAGGTCGCGATGAGGTGGTCCAGCTTGTACTCGAGCGCAAAATAGTCATCAGACCTCCTTTGGCCCTGTTCTCCGGTCATGTTTGCTTTTGCCAGAGCCGCGACGTCCCCTCCGGCGCACAAAGCATTCCCTGCGCCCTTCATAACGACCACGTTGGCCATGTCTGATTTCTGCCATTCGATGAGTCGCGGCGCTATTTTGCGGATCATAGATCCATTGAGGGGGTTGAGTTTCGACGGTCGGTTTAGTTCGATCGTCCGTAGGCCGTATAGGCTGGTGAAGACGACATCTTCGGGCTCGTCACCTTCCTGTGGTTTCCAGATTGCTGCCGATGACGATAACGAGGACTTCAGAGAGTGTCAAAATTAGTCAATTGGCCAGAAAATCGGTTTTGGTGGGCGTACAAGTGTTCTTGAGCCTGGTTGCTGCTCCATGATCTTGGCTCTGAGAGGAGACATGACGGTGCCTCTGCAGGGTCGGCAGCAGGCTGATGCTGTGAGGCCAGCTCGTGCCGAGAGCGCCCTTGCGAACATTTACAGAAATGGTGACCCTCGACCTGACTGATTCCCGCGAACGCGCATGGAAAGTTGACTGATCGAACTAGATCAAGCCGAAGTAAGAGGGGGAGAGGAGGGCTTGGGGATATCAATCGACTAGTTGCGTCGGTCTTTCAAATGCTCCAAATTTGCTGCAAGGACCTAAACCGCGGAGCATTGGGAGCTTGGAGCGTCATCCACGCTCGGGCTGGCAAGGGACCCACCTCCCGCTAGCCTCGCCCAATCACACCCCAGCTGGCTTTGGGAGCTCCTAATTTTCTAGGCGACGTCTCTATGCGCCTGCTGCGTTGAACGTGAAAGCGGCGGCCTTGTCTCTCGTCTGCCCAACTCAACTCAAACATACACCGCGACCTCTCCACAGATACCATGGCCGACCCCAAGATCCAGTCAGAAGCCCCTCTCTGCTCCCATGTTACTGTACCAGAAGACTGACACCACAACACAGGGAATTGCTCACGAAGCCTCGTAACGAACTCACGTGCGTCCCCTTCTGCCTTCCTCTGTCGCGTCCCACCGCTCGACTGACTGACGGACTGGCTGACTTGTCAACAGTGAATACGAGATATCCCAATTGGAAGAGCGTACGTTCAACCCCGTTCGACCGTCCCCGCGTCAATGCGCGCCCAGCATGGCATCGTTGATGACGTGCCTGCACGCCATGGAGGGAATGGGAGATTTCACGCACCCACCAGCTAACACTAAATTTTGTGCGGGAAAACAGATGAATTCTCCGCGGGTCCCCTCTCGATCCTCCAGACCGCCGTTCGAAGCCACACCCAGGTCCTGATCTCGATACGGAACAACAGGAAGCTGCTGGCGCGGGTCAAGGCGTTCGACCGGCACTGCAACATGGTCCTCGAGAACGTCAAGGAGATGTGGACCGAGACGCCCAAGCTTTCTAGCGGGAAGAAGGGCCGGCCGGTCAACAAGGACAGGTTCATCAGCAAGATGTGGGTCATCCCAGGAGACGGGGGGAAGCAATCGCTCCTCCCATGGACTAGTTGCAATTGAGGCTAACGTGGGCACGCAGGTTCTTGCGAGGAGACTCCGTCATCCTGGTGCTGTTGAGCTGAACGGGTGAGGGGCTGCGTTTTACGTTTCACGATACCCGTAGGAGGACTACTGTCCGGGTCGTCAGGGTGTGTTCGCTTGCTTTCGAAAAGGGTCAAGATCATTCACATATGGACATAGGCGTTGAGAATTGAGTCGACTTTTTCTGCTGGGATTCAAACAGATACTGCTTCTCGCATGCATGAGGCTCGATCACCATGCATGCCGTGTACTACTTGACATGGGAATCAAAAAGATTAGGTATTACAGTCCGGACGCCCTCCAACGATAAAAGCCCAAACCTCCGGCTCACAACTCCGCGCAGACCAAGCACTTTGGCTGGGGGTGGGGGAACAAGGACCACTGCCATTCTAAACTTTCTCCCAGCCCTCCTCGTTAGACTTGGGTGGTTTCAGCCCGGCAACACCGAGGAAGAAATATGCCAGCCCCCACGCGCCTGGGTCGGGCACGTGCTTGAAGCCCGAGCCGCCGACGTAAACGGACCGGCCCAGGCTCGCGACCATACCCTGCGTCGCCTCGGCAGCGGCTATCGAGGCCTGCGCCGCCTTCTGGACGTCGCCGGACTCGGCCAGTGTGTCGACGAAGGGGTACAACGCGTCAACCAGGGTGCGGTCACCGGGCCTCGCGGGCGTGTACTTTGAGAGCGCCTCGCAGGACTGCTTCAGAGCCTCGGCCCAGACCTTTGGCGACGCGTCACCCGGTGCCAGGGTGCTGAGGGCGTGGACGAGCGCGTTCAGGAAGATGGCGTAGATTGCGCCGCTGGTGCCGTCCATGGCCATCTCGACGACGGAGACAATGTTTGCGGCGTCTATCACGGCGTCCCCGCTCAAAGGGTTGGTTTTCAGGTGGTCGATGATTGCTGAGGTTGTGTCAGTGGACATGTCTTGAATCAAGTATGGGATCGTTGCTTGCTTACCTTCTGCGCCTCTCTTCAGCCCGATGCCGCAGTCACCGTCTCCGACCACCGAGTCGTACCGAGTGACATCTGGCTCTACGGCAACAATGTACTCGAGCCCCTTCTGCAGGGCCTTAGAGCCGATGCTGGCATCGTACTTCAGCCCACTGGGCTTGACCTCACCCCCTACGGATGAAGTGTCCTCTCGTGTTGCCTGGTTCTTCTCCTCCCAGGTCTCCTTGGAGATAGGTGCTGCCCACCCAATCGCCTCAGACGGGTAGTCCAGCAATTGGATCATGCTCGGGCCGCCGACCTCGGTGTTGACAACATTGAGCAGGGTGATGCTGAAGCCCAGGCCGTTCAGACTCGTCATGTACGTGCCGCTCAGTATCCTGACAGGCCGGATGCCATGATCTCTCTGCAGCTGTGTGACTACCTCGGCGGTGATGCCGCCCAGCTCGAGGACACTCACTCCGCCCAGATTGTTCACCAACAAGACGATCTCATTTGAGTTGACCTCCAGGAATGCCCGGTCCTTATCCTCCTGGTCGAGTAATTGCTTGAGCATCTTGGCCACTAGCTGCGGCAGCTCGATCTCTTCCCTGCCGCTTCCGGCCTCGTTGTGGATGCCCATGCCGATCTCAACCTCCTTCGCACCCAGGTTGCCCGCGTCATCGGCCTTTGGCGGTGCGCGGCCGGGCACGTGGACGTGCTCCAGACTGGCGCCGACACTGACGAGGTTGGACGCGGTGAGCCTGGCGACCTTGGCTACGTCCTTGAGGCTGTAGCCCTGGGCGGCCAGGGCACCGGAGATCTTGTGGACGAGAACTGTGCCAGCAATGCCCCTGCGGCCGACCTTGCCAGCCTTGGCCCTCCCGACGCCGACGTCGTCACCGACGACGACCATCTCTGCGTCAACACCGGCGGCGTGGGCCTTCTCGACGCCCATGCCGAAGTTGAGGACATCACCGGTGTAGTTCATGACGGTGACGAGGACGCCCTTGTCATGGCCGACACGGGTCTGGATGGCGGCGCGGATCTGCTCCGCAGACGGGGAGGCGAAGATGGTGCCGGAGACGGCGGCAGTCAAGAGGCCCTTGCCGACCATACTGGAGAAGGAAGGCTCGTGGCCGGCGCCGCCGCCGGAGACAATGCTCACCTGGGGGTTCGAGGAGTCATTGGGGGTTGGGCGCCTGTAGATGACCTTGTTGTGCTTGTCGAGGGCCAGGGAGGGGTTTGTGAAGGTGATGGCCTCAAGGGCCGAGTTGACGAGATGTGTCGGGTCGTTGACAAAGTGTTTGGCAGACATGATGGCACGGGTGGGTGACACGAGCTGCTGCTGCGAGCCTCGCCAGGGGTTGCAAGAGAGATGGATTGGGGGATATCAGATACACTCAGCCTTGCTTGCAGTAACATGCGACTGTGTGTCTGGAGGGAGAGGGCAGGCCGGCGCAGACAGAGGGTTTATATAAAGATCCACTGGGTGGTCGAGAAGGAGGATGGAAAATTCACTGATTGACGGAAGAATTGAGGGGAGAGGAGCTGGGGCGAGGGAGCTCTCACATCACGATACCTACCTGGCCGTGGCTGTCGCCGGCAACTAATAGTCGATGGGCAGTCGGCGGACGCATCGACCCATGCAGGCCACCCGGGCCAGCTCGAGGCAGCTCTACCTGCCGTGGTGCTCGGCGGGCATGGCAATGGCTAGTGTCACGGTTGACAGTCAGGGTGAGCAAGTCCGGGCGGAGGAATCTAGAATGTCGGCTGTGGAGCGCAGTGGGATGAGCCTGTCACGCGCGGGGGCCGCTGCGGGGGAGCGGATGGGGTGATGCAACCTGCCTGCCTGCATCCCCATCCGACCTGCCAGGCCCTGACAGAACCCGTTCGTTCGCTGGGGGCAGCTGGGGGCAACCCGCCCGAACGGTGCCCGGCCTAAGCGAAAGTCTCGTCTCCCCGGTTGGCAGCTTCGTCGGGTCGGTCTCGTCCCCCTTGCTCTCCCCCTTGCTCGCCTTCGCGACCCCGCCCTGTACCCTGCTCAGCCCCTCCCCTCCTCCCTTCCATCCATCCATACATCCATCCGTCTCCTCCACTTCTGCCACCCCATTGCATTGCATGCATCGCATCGCATCGCATCCGTTCGGTCCCAGCTCAGTGGGCCGGATGTCTTTTCCGACAAGTCTTTTTCCGGGGCTTTGCTCTTCACTGGCCATTCACCATTCACCTATCCGTGTGTGTGCGTGTGCATGTGTATGTGTTCATCCATCCGATCGTCTAAATCGTCCATCATTTACAGTATATGCAAATTGGCTGTTGGATTTTCCATCTCTGATCTGCATGGGTATCTCCTCATCCATCCATCCATCCATCATTCATTCATTGAGTTATCTATCCACAATCCCGCCCAGCCATCCATGCCGCCACGCTGTCCCCGCCACCTTCGGCTTGCCGCTCATGGTGATAGGTCGGTCTCGGCATGCTCGCACTGCGCCCGGCCGGAGATGCTTTGAGATGCGCTGCATCCATCCACTCAAGACCTGCATGGTTGCCATTAATCATAACATCACGGCCCAATCCTCCTCAACCCAGACTTGAGCGTGGGCGTAGGCGAGATTGCTGTCCCAGCCCCCAGTTGACCTGACAGGATGGAATTGCGCCGCAGATCTCTGGACGGCCCGGAGTCAACCCCCGAAGGTGTCAATCATATCGTATCATGTCGTAGGACAAAGCCACCAAGGGGGATTGTCGCCTCATTTCATAACAAAAACCGAACCCCCTATGATGCTGAGCGCGATCGCACTCGTCATGAACCCGGCCGCCACCCTTTCGCCCATCGTGATCGGCTCCAGCACGGGCAGCTTGTCCTTGTTCTCGATTCCGGCGTTGGGGTCGCCCTGCGAAGTTCCACCCGTGTTGGCCGTGACGGGCGCCGTAGACCCGCCGCCGCCGCCGCCACTTCCACCTCCAGCACCACCGCTCCCGCCGCCGTCCACCCTCTTGGTGAGCGAGTACATGACGGCCGAGAGCGCGCTCATCTGCTGGCCCACGCCGACCAGCCCGTCGAAGCCGCCCGTTGTCCACTTGAACCCGCACGCCGTGCCGGGCTTGCCGTTGAAGCCCTCGGCCGGCGACCCGGAACACGCCTTGGCGGCCGCCGGCGCCGTCTTCTGCAGCAGCGGCATGATGGTGTCGAAGGTGTAGGGCGCCACCTGCGTCGTGCCCGACATCCACCGCAGCAGGTAGCCCTTGAAGCTCTGCTGGTCCGTGTCGCATAGCTCGACGTTCTCGCAAGCCTGCTCCATCAGGATGCTATCGTTGAAGAAGACCGCCTGCGTCTCGGTCAGGATCCCGTCCAGCCGCTTCTTCCACTCGGCCTGCTCCCCGCCCGAGGTGATGTTGTACATGATGGCCGACCCGTGCATGTAGATGCCTGCGTTGTATGTCCACTGGATCACGTCCGGCTTGGTGCAGTTGGCCCCGTCGTCCACCCCGGCCCCGTCGTAGATGCGGAAGTCGGGCGTGATCAGGTTGACGCCCTGCTCCCACTCAAACACCCTCTGCGCCCAGTCCGCGTACGTCTGGTTGCCCGTGAACCGCGCCAGCCGCGCCGCGAGGTTGAAGAAGCACCCGTTCGAGATGGAGTTCTTGTAGTTGAAGCCGTTGTTGAACGTGAAGATCTGCCACCGCAGCCCGCCGTTGCACGTCTGCTCGTCCCACCGCGTCGTGTACTCGTTGAACACGGCCTGCGCGAGCGCCAGCCACTGCGGCTGGTCCGGCGGCGGGTCTGGGAATCTGTTTTCCGCTGCCGACATGGCCGCCATCGCCCAGAATCCCTGATCGTCGTTGCCCTCCGTCCGCGTCTGGTTGGCCGGCATGTAGTCCCGGTCGTCGCCCGCCTGGTGCAGCATCGCCTGCGTGACCACGGGATTGTAGCTCTCGTCCTTGGTGAACAGCCAGTAGTCGATCATGGTCCCCATCATCGCGCCCGCCTCCCACCAAAAGTACGGCGACGGTAGGTTTGCCGGGGACATCGCCTGTGTTGTTGCCCGTGTAGTACTTCATCAAGCCGAATGCTATCGTGCCCGCCGCAGCCTTTATGGATTCTGATAGATTTGGTCAGCCCGAATAGACAATTTGTCTGGGTATATGTAGGACGGGACAACCACTCACCATCATCGGTCATCGTGAGCTCGACAGCGAGAGCATTTTGACAAAGCAGGCTCAACAGCCCTGCTGCACCGAACACGCCCTTCATTGTGATGATTATAAAACGGAAGCCAGCCTGTCTAGATTCAATTTGGCCAGCAAAGAAAATGAACTCTGCACTGTGTAATAACAAGCCGCTCTACGGTCTCCACAGCATCACACTCAAAATGAAGGAAATCGGTCCTCGGGATATCCAGTACCTCGGCCTGGAGGCTCGATCACAAGATCGGAGAAAGAGAAGGCGTTACTCGGCCTGGAGTAAAAGAAGAGAGCCAATGAGTAAGAAATTAATGAATGTACACACCACCAGGGCTGGGCAGCGATGGCAAAGTGTGAATAAAGTTGTGCCCAGGCGACGGAGCAACAGGAAAAGAGAAGAGAAAGGCGTAGGATGGAAACCCGTAAAGATCGAACAAACACTGGAGATGACAGCCAGTTCAACCACATTGCCAAGGGCCAGCAAAATACGCCCCATGCCGTCACAGGCCAGGGAGAACAACACCCAGCAGCAACCGGTCTAATTCATCGGATGCTCGACGTGCCACGAGGCTGTGCACTATCACCCGGGGGCAGAGGGCGGGCTAGTGAAACGGCCCAAGTTCGAGGTTTGGGCTATCCAGTCTCAAGACGGCCGGCCGCCGGGACCCCTGCTCCACCTGCACCAGACACAACCCCCAAGTCAGCCGTCACACAAGTCCTGACAGCGGGCAGGCCCTGCACGGGGTGGTCCTCGAGTGTGCTCTAGGCGAGGAAATTTGGAGGGGACAGTCAATGGCAATCTGCAGATCTGGAGCTTATCTCCGCCGATCCCCATGGCTTATTGTTCGGGAGGACGTTTCGAGGGCAGACGCTGGGCTTCAGATAACCCGCAGAAAGAGTGGGCATCCGATGGCACTCTCGTTTTGGGGACTTCTGTGCGACTATGATTTTATGCCTCGCTGCCAGGCACCGTCTCTCGTCTACCAGGTACCCACGCAGAGAGGTGTGATTAAGGTTAAATGCTTGCCGGCCTGGCGCCCAGGAGGAAAAGCGGCTTTCCCAAGGGAACAAGCGATTGGTGTAAGCGATCAGCGCCTTTCCCGAAACGAGAGCTGTGGCCAGCCTCAGACGCCTCGCGACTCATTACCAGGGTTGTGATGGGCCTCCCGAGGGCCCGCGAGTACCGTTGCATCTCATATCTATTCATCTGAACCACTGGTCCAGAAGTGCTCACTCAAATCTTGACGGTCGTGCAAAGCGGCCCTCTGCTGCCCCCCGCCCGATGCTGAAAGGTGGTCGTCGACTTCAGACCGTCTTTGGGTGATCTTCAGGCCAACCGTCTATTATTAGCATCCGTGCGCTCTATGCCTCCGGTCGACCACGACCACGGTGCTGCTGTCACTCATGTCTTCCGCCTTTTGGCAGGGGGCTCTTCCTCTGAAACCCCCTCGTCCTCCTTATTATCGTCATCCGCATCAGATTCGAAATCATCGTCACTGACTTCGTCCTGCTCCTGCGCCTGGGCTGTGGAGTAATGAGCATCGAGTTCCCTGAAGGGGGTGCGTTCCCATACTTACTGAAGTATTTGGTGGCATTTGGCCACAGATCCTCCGAGATGTGAATGGCAAGGCTGTCTCCCTCTGGGAAAATCTCCAGCTCGTTCTCGTCGTCTTCGTCGTCCTCTTCCTCTTCATTGTCGTCTTCGCCATCAGAGGTTTGCTGTTTGCCTTCCTGTCTGGCGATGCGTTCCTTCTGCGCCTTGTCCAAGGCCTCTTGGCTCTCCTCGGCGGATACATTTCGACCAACATAACCGAACCATGCGAAGAAGCTCAACCCACCGAGCCCGGTGTTTTCGATTTTCTTCTTGAGATTTCTCATCTGCGGATAATTCTTGGATTTTTTCGTCCCCTCCTTTGCCCCTGGCCTGCTGAGCATCCCAGACCTTCTTTACCGTTCCCAGTAGGCCTCCCGTCAGATCCTTGCCCTTCTTCCAGCGGATCTCGACAGGCTCGCTCACGAGACCGGTCCAACCGCTCTTGGAGTGTCTCTGCCAGAACTTCTTTTCGATGACCTTGTCCTCGAAGTGGTCATTGTCGCTGAATTCAAACCTGAAGCACAAGCTCCTAGGGTCGCCTTTCTTCCCATCCTCGATCTCGAATCGCGTCACCGACAGAGACGTCAGCGACGACAAGAGCAAGGAAGAGTCTGACGGTTGTATGAACTCGTCAATGTCTGGCGGGGCTTGCTCAAAGACCAATGGCCAGAAGTTGGGGATTTGCGAGACAATCTTGTGTCGCTTCTCGTAGAGAGGCCGCTTGACCACCACCTCCTGCCGGACTATGGCGACTGTCAGTGAGTTGTTGCATCAGGTGAAAATGTGTGAACCCCTCTGAGAGTCTGAGAGCGGTGCGCCTCCCGCATTGGTCAGATTGTGCCGGCTCAGCCGTCAACCGCGAGGCGGGCGATGACGGCAGCCCTCCTACAGCACAAATCAACAGTCAAAAGGGAGAATCCATACTCAGCTCTGTTTCCGCGTCATCAAACTCGGCATTCAGGTCGTTGAGCTCCTCATAGGAGACCGAGGATTCCTCGGTTACCGGAGGTGCAGCAGCCATTGTCTCCGCAGAGGCTGAGAAGGCGCGTGCTGGCTGTCGACCAGATGGTATATCAGCCGCGGTTGGCGACCGGATTGGCAAGGCGAAGATGTCCTCTTCACCGGAGTGATCTTGCCGACAAATTTTGAAGGCTTGTTCGCAGTTCCCTGCGAGTTCCTTGGGGAAAAGAGCCGGTAAGATGGGATGGTCGGTTTTGGAGATCGGTGTCTGGTCTCCAAGTGCAGCTGAAAACCCTGAATTAACCCTGCTTCTAGACTCCCGGGGAGGGGGGCGCCAAGGGGGGTAGCTTACTGCATACTGTACATGAACCACTGAAAAGGCACCTCCAAAGTTGGATTGACCACCGAGCTCACGACTTGGTTCGACTGGAGGGGGACTGAGGGTAACAATAAATGGGCGTGGTATTCGCCATGCTATGCCGAGTCCCACTTGGTTCAATCATGTCTCCCTGCCGTAAGTTGCAACGCCGCCCCGTGCCTGACTTGGCTTACACTACAAGGTCTGCAGCCCTAAAGGTCCTGGTTCCGTGCTCTCTATCCACTGTGGCCCCAAAACCTGATCTCGCTCCCACCTGAGTTTGACGATCAGGCACGCGCACAGGAGACTGGATCCTCGGGACGTAGTGATATGGTTGGATGGCACACTGCCATGATCCCGCACGGCCGGCCGCTTACCCACTAAAGAGAGTAAGTAGTACGCGATCCGCCTCCGGGGGTCAATCGATCTGCAGCATGGACATGTCGACGAACCGGCTGCTTGTCTCTTCAATCTGTTCCTGCCCGCGGCTCCCACTTGGGCTGCAAGTCGCCCGGAAGACCGTTCCTACCCAAGGCCCATTCAGACCCACTCACTGCGGTCTTGTGGAGTCGTACGAGGACGTGGGCTTGAGAAGTCGTCCCAGAAGGGACGGAACGCGGCATTAGACGCTGGACGCCTGTGCTACCACGGCAGCTGCATGCCCACTTTCCCTTGGATTCGCCGGCGTACATCAGTCCACTGGTCGATTCTAGCCCATCTTCATCGGCCTCAATGGTTGTAGCTCTCATTTGCCGGCCTGACTTGAACCGAGCTCCTTGCTTATGATCATGTCAGCGCGCTCGCGGGTGATGAGGCCAACTAACTCGCTCAAGGAGTCGTTGGTCTTTGCACGGGCCTTCATGTCATCCATACCGCAGCCTCAAAACTTGTATATCGTGCTGTCCACTCACGCAGATGTGACGCCGGCATGAGCAACTTCAAACCACGGGAGATCTTCAGCTCTCGCGGTGCCAACGCCATGGTAGACTTCTCGTGTGGGTCGAATTCACACGCGGAAAACACCCGTTCCACCACCTCCGGGGCTGTAGATCAAGACCAGAGACGTCCGTCCTGACTGGCAGCGGAGATCAACGCATGATCAACGAGACACTAGCTCCAGGATTTGAACAGAGTCCATCCTAAAAGTTCGTAGACCAGTGGATGACCGCTGCACGCAAAATAAGTGAAGATCACTAACGGAGCCGCGGCAAGTGACAAGCATCTTAGATAGGGCTGTATAAATGAGATTCAGCCCCTTGCATGTGACCTATGGGCTTCGGTGCCCCATTTTTCCGGCTTGCCCAGCCTCTGAAGACCACTTAAACCATTTATTCGAATTTTCATGTTAGTAGCAGGGTCTTCACCGTGGTAAGAGGATGGAAGTCAGCATCAGGTGAGCTTCATGAACAAGCCCGAGGTCCTGCGCTTGGTGGAACGACAGCCGAGTATCTAGTCAGAAGGAGATGACTTTTGATAGCGAAGGAACATTTGACAATCATCCAACGCCCTCGAGTGTTCGGGATGATAATAAAGATTAACATGTGGTATTCCGCGGTGGTCTGAGCAATACATCGCCGTTCTCCGTGCCGGTGCCCGGAGGATGGACTGGTGACCACGGGGTGCGAAGAGGCTGAGGTAGAGGCTGAGGTACCTGGGTACTTCTGATAGCGCCGTCGGGTAGTGGAGGGCGTCTAGGTACCTAGGTCGTGGGTAGTTGTCAGGGGGTTCTGCAATAAGAGGGTTGTATTCGGTTTCTGGTTGTAGTTCTGTTTAAGTTTGTACTAAAGGGCTGAGGGGCTGAGGACTACCTATTAATACCCATAAGGGGTTTATGCAATGCTCCTTCTTTATAATTTACCCCCTTTAAAAAATAATAGCGCCCTTATAGCTAATAAATAATTCTAAAAGGTGCATTTAATAAATTAATTATCTTATGTTTTATTTTTTAAGTAAAGTATTAAGCTTAAATTATCTTTATTTTTTTTATAATTTTTATTTTTATTCTTTAAAGCATTAAAATTATTTAAGGGTTTATTTTATAATTTATTATATTTCTTATAATTAGCTATTTTTATATTTTTACTTAATTTAAAGTTATTTATAAAAAGTTTTATTTTAAGAATATATTTATTATTAAGTAATTTAATAATAATATTTATAATATTTTAAATAATAAAAAAAGTATTAAATTTATTTATAATTATTTTAATAAATAAAGTATAATAGCTGCCTTTTAAGGTATTAATTTATTTTTTTTTTAAATTAATTAATTTTTTAAGCTAATAATATATATAATATTAAAGTTAAGTTATATTTAAAGTAAGTTTTATTAAGTATTTAATTTAATGTTTTTTAATTATAATTTTATAATTTAAGCTTATTATTTATTAATTTTAATAATAAATTTAATGTTTTTTATTTTATATTATTTATATTTTTGCTATTTTATTAAAAGTAAGGATATTATTAATAGGGAATATAAATAAGTATTAATATATTTTACTATAAGTAAGAAAGGTAATATAGATTAATGGGTTATTGCATTATTAGTGGGAAATATAATGGATTATAAAAATATATTAAACTTTATTTTCTTTAAGTTATATTACAAACTTATTATAAGCATTATATTAAATTTTTTTTAATTAATTTTCTTTAATAAATTATATTTTTTAATTTAAAATAATATAATAAAAATATTAAAATTGCTATTAAAGGAGTAATTATTAAGGAAAGGTGGTTTTTTAAGTAGGTTTTCTTTAATTTTATTATATATAAATTTAGTAGCTTTAGCATTTTTATTAAAATTGCTTTTATTTAAGGATTTTTTAAATTTAAATTAAAATTTAGCTTAAGAAAAAGAAGTATTATAATTTATTATATTAAATAAGTATTACAAAGAATATAGCAAAGTTAAGGCTTTTTTAGTTAATTAATTTATCTTTATATTTATATAAAAAAGATATTAATTAAATTTTTTATTAATGATATTTTATAATTTATTATAAATATATATTTATTACTTATATTCCTTTTTTTTATGCTTTTTAATAAATTATAAAAGCTTTTTATTATATTCTTATTTTTATATTAAGTAAATAAAGATAAGGAAATTTATAGCTTTATTAAGTTTATTAATTTTAATATTATTAAAATTAAGAATTATTTATAATATAATATATAAATTTCTTATAATAATTATTAAGCTAACTTAATTATCTTAATGCATAATATTATTAATGTTTTTAATTTAAAGCTTTAAATTTTAAAAAAGATTTGCAACTTAATGCTTTGCTTTAAATTTATATTATTTAAGTTTATTTTTAAATAGCTTTTTGCTTTTATTTCCTTTTATTATTACCATTAACAATAAGCTTAAATTACAAAGCTATCTTAAGTATATCTTTTATTAAATAAAGATAAATAAAAAAATAAAAAAAAAGAAGAAGTTTATAATTTTTCTAAGAGAATTAAAATTATACTTTAAGTAATGCTATATTTATCCTATTTTTTTATTTAAAGTTTTTAAGTAAATATTATTATAAGTTATTATAGCAATTATTAATAGTAGTTATTAATAGCAATTATTAATAATAATTATTATATTAAGTTTATAATAAATAATTATTTATAGGTAAATTTATTAAGCAATAATTATGCATTAAATCTTAATTGCAATAAGGTTATTTATTTTTAAAATTTAAGTTTTAGTTTAATATATTTAATAAAATATTTTATATCCTTTAGTTTTAAATATTATTAGTTAATTATGCGCTTTGCGTAATCTTTAATTTAAATAGGTTTAATTTAAGGTATATCTTAATTAAATAAATTTAAAGAGTATGGCTTAAGGTAGTTAATAAAAATAATATTATGCTTTAACTTTAAAGAATTATATAAAATATTATTTATTAAAATATGCTTTTATTATTATTACTATAAGTATTAAGGCGTTATATATATAAATATGGCTTTAAGGAAGGTTTGGCAGCTAATAAGGTACTTAATTTATAATAATATTTAAAATATTATTAAAAGTAAAGCTTTTAACGATTTTATTTAAGGAAATCTTAATTACTTAGGATTTACTATTATAGTATTTAAATTATATTTATAATAAAGTATTTAATTATTTTTATAAATTATTAAGGCTATAAATAAAATAGCAAAGCATAAATTTAATAATTTATATTATTCTTTTTAATTAGCTATTAGTTTATAAATAATATATAGTTATATAAAATAGCTTTATTTTAAATAATTTTTATATTAATAATTAAATGCTTAATAAGAATTTAGGGTTTTAATTTAAAAGGATAACTTTTAAATAGCCTTAGTTACTTTAAAGCAAGTATTATAATAAAGAAAAGGCTTATTTTATAGCTTTTTATATTAATTTTCCAGGCATTAGCAATAAATCTTTTAAGAATTTGTAAATTATTAAAAAGATATAATTATAGCCTTTTATTAAGAGAAGTTTAAAAATAAAGTTTATTATAATTTAATAATATAAATATAATGGGCTAAGCAGTAATTATAAGCTTTTATAAGCTTTATATCTTTTAATAATAAAAACTTAATAATTAAGATAATGGTAAATAAATTTATATAGCTTAAAATGCAATCTTTTAATGTAAAAAGGCTAAAGGAATTTATTAAGTTAGGTATAATTATAATAGCTGCTTATATAAGTAAGTTTTAAG